TCAAGTTCATGCTTCTACCGTTGATTCCTTTCTTTTACATCAGCGCTTGGGTCATCCCTCGCCCAAAGTTATGTCATATGTTAGTCCCAATAATAGCACTTCTAATTTAAAGAAGTTGCAAACATGTGATATTTGTTTTATGTCCAAACAGACTTGATCTTCGTTTCCTACAAGTTTAAATAAAGCCAATTCTGTGTTTGATTTAATTCATTGTGATCTCTGGGGACCATATTCCGCTTGTTTAGCTACGGGGGCTCATTATTTTTTAACAATCGCTGATGATCATTCTCGTGCTGTGTGGGTGTACCTTATTAAAGTTAAAAGTGAGGTCACCTCGTGTTTGAAACGTTTCTTTGCTATGATTGCTACCCAGTATGAGAAAACAATAAAAGTTGTTCGTTCAGATAATGGTACTGAGTTCCTCAATAAACCACTTCTTGAATATTATGATCACATGGGTGTCCAGATACAAACTTCTTGTGTAGGTACCCCTCAGCAGAATGGCCGTGTGGAAAGGAAGCACCGTCATATTCTCAATGTGGCGCGTGCCCTCATGTTCCAAGCATCTCTACCGCTGGAATTCTGGGGAGAATGTGTCAAAACTGCAGTCTATCTCATTAATCGTCTTCCCACGTCTCTCTTGGGTGGTAAGTCTCCTCTTGAAATTCTTTCATCTAAACCTTGTGATCTTAGCCATCTTCGGGTGTTTGGGTGTCTTTGTTATGTTCGTCAAAAACTTCCCAATAAATTTGCTCCCCGCAGTATTCGGTGCATGTTTGTTGGGTACCCATTTGGTACGAAGGGATGGCGTGTCTACAATTTGGAAACACACCGTTTCTTTCATACTCGTGACATTTCGTTTGATGAAACTGTCTTTCCTCTTGCTATATCGCCCAACACTACACATTTTGCCCCATCTCTCCCCACCCCTACGGGTGACTTTCCCGAAGCTATTACCGTGTCGGCATCCAACCAGTCACCCACCCCAGATTCGGCAGTCACTGCCGAAAATCCCACCCCACTCCCGATTCCTGAACCCAGCCCCTCTAACCTTGCACCTACTGCCGACGGTGCACCCACCTCGTCCGACACCTCTCCACCCGAGACAGAAACAGTCCCCCCAGTTCGTCAATCCTTTCGTGTCCGTCACCCTCCATCTCATCTGTCTGATTATGTTTGTCATACCGCCACGACATGTTCTTCGGTTACGTCCTCTCCCGTTCAGTCTTCAGTTTCAGGTACTCGGTTCCCTATTACTAATTTTGTTCATTATGATAAGTTACATGACAGGTATAAAGGTTTTCTCGGAGTGGTGACGGAAACTGTGGAGCCTAAAAGCTTTCGTGAGGCTGTTAAGCACGCTTCTTGGCGGGAAGCGATGGCGAAGGAATTGTTAGCATTGGAGAGGAATCATACTTGGGACATTACTGCTCTTCCATCGTTTCGTCGTGCGTTGGGCTGCCAGTGGGTGTATCGCACGAAGTTTCATTCCGACAGTACTAAAGAACGTGACAAAGCCCGCTTAGTTGTGTTGGGGAATCATCAAGCATTCAGGACGGATTACACTGACACTTTTGCACCAGTGGCTAAATTAACCACGGTGCGTATTCTTTTGTCTGTTGCAGTTGCTCGTTCGTGGGAGGTTCATCAATGTCAACAATGCTTTCTTACATGGGGATCTCAAGGAAGAGGTGTACATGAAGTTACCGCCTGGGTACACTGGGGCATATCCCGGTAAAGTTTGTCGTCTCCGAAAGCCCTTGTACGGGCTACGTCAGTCACCGCGTAACTGGTTTGCTAAGTTGCGCAGTGCCTTTCGTGCTGTTGGGTTTCGCCAAGCCCATGCTGATCATAGATTGTTCGTTTGAACCCATGGTCCTGACATTTTGGTTGTATTGGTTTATGTGGATGATATTCTTCTTGCAGGTAATAACCCATGTGTTTGTTCGTCGTTCAAGCGATACTTGAATGATTGCTTCTGTTTGAAAGATTTGGGCCCAGTCTCTTACTTTCTGGGGATCGAGTGTGCTAGGTCCCCGGCAGGCATGGTTTTGAATCAGCGGAAGTACGCGTTGGATATTATTGCAGAGGCGGGCCTTTCTGGGTGCAAGCCTGTTTCTACTCCTATTACTCCTGGACATTCGCTTGCCACCTCCTCGAGTCCTGAGATTCGTGATCCTGCCAAGTATAGGCATCTGGTTGGCCGTCTGTTGTATTTGACGATTACTCGTCCTGACATTTCTTTCTCAGTTCATGTTTTGTCTCAGTTCATGCATGCTCCACGACTTGATCATTTACAAGCGGCTTTGCGGGTGGTCCGTTATCTAAAGGGACATCCGGGTCAGGGTATCTTCTTGCGTAGCGACAGTGACCTATCTCTTATGGCATACTCAGATTCAGATTGGGCAAGTTGTCCCATCACTCGTCGTTCAGTTACTGGTTATTTTATTCTTTTGGGTGGTTCCCCGGTTTCTTGGAGATCTAAAAAGCAGGACACCGTGTCTCGTTCTTCCGCAGAGGCTGAGTACAGGGCCATGGCTAGTGCATGTACGGAGATTCGTTGGATCCGGGGTCTTCTTGCGGCTCTGTTTGTTCCATGTGTAGCTACCCCGCGTTTGTATTGTGACAATAAGTCTGCGTTGTACATTGCAGCAAATTCGGTGTTTCATGAACGCTCCAAGCATATTGATATAGACTGTCATATCGTTCGTGAGTGCGTTCAGCGCAACCATGTGTCCACGGCCTATGTTCCAACCAAGCTGCAGATTGCAGATATTTTTACTAAGGCGCTCTCTAGTCCTTTTTTTAATTTTTTACTCTCCAAGTTGGGCATTCTTGATACTCATGCGCCAACTTGAGGGGGAGTATTGGGTATTCTTGTGCAGTATTGGTTTATATTGTAGTTAGTTGGCCCGTTGGGCTTGTACTTATGTATCTTGTATATATACCTCATTGGGGTAACTAATCAACCAAGAAAGTATTTTTCCAAAAGTTCTACAATAACTGTAAAAACTCTATAATTATCTAGAATCATTTCATCATCATGACAACATTGGTTAGCTCTATATGACCTCATTGTTTAGCATAATATGACATCATTGCTTAACAATGCTGACCCATTGGCCATTGCTCATTCAGTCATCCTTCCAAATTGCATGGCCAATTCCCTGACTTAGTGTGGCAGCCTTATGAAAGTATGAGTTGAGACCTCTGCGGTAATACATGATGGGTGGACATTGGAGTATAAAGATCAAGGGTTTCAAGCTGAGAATGTTGCCACTCTAAATAATGGGTCTAAAAATTCTGTTATGACATTTGCCGATGAACTTGCTTATTTTACAGAGTACTAAGTCTGTCTGAAGCTTTCCTTGATTCTATCACTACAGTTGAATAATGTAATACAAATACATGCCCCATTTCATCATTGTCTAAATGGGTCATTGACTCATGTGCCGCCCTGCAGTTCATTTGATTGGCAATCAACACTTGTCATCTATTTTTAGTTCTCATTCACCAAGTTCCCTTGTGACTCTAGCTGATGGATCTTCCTCACATGTACTTGGGTCAGGCACAGACATAGTTGTTACCACCCTGACAATCCCTTTGTCCTTTGTTTGAAGCATACCAAATTTTTCATTTAATTTGATCCGTGTTAGAAAAATTACTCCAGTCATTAACAGTTCAAAAACATTCCTTTTTGGCTAATGAGCTAATCTTGAGGCTAATTGGAAATCAATCACTTAGCCTTGCTTTTTTGGACCTTCCTCTTTTATGTCATTAATATGTATGTATGTCGCCTGAGTTAATAATCCATTGGATAGTATGGAATCAGTCACTTTGTCTAGATAAAATCTGTTGGATCTTTACTCTTTACCCTGATGTATGTCATTAAGTATTCCGTAACACACCCTCTCACTCTCTTATACCTGCCTTGGGTAATTTCTTTAGTTAGTTTTATGTTTTCTTTTAATATGCACCTGGTGTTGCTCGTGCCTTGGGGGCTGGATACCTTTTGCACCTCTCCCCTTTGATAACACTGGCCTATAATTCTGCATTGTAGGTATGTACATAGTTATCAAAGTTATCTGTGGAACCATGCAGTAAGCTTCAGGGTGCAAAAGCATGGTTAGTGGTCACTAACTCATCGGTCTATAATACATAATAACTACTTCATGTATATCCACATCTCATGTTGATTTCTCCAGAACATGCGATTAGAGACATGAGAGAGATTTGGTTTTCTTGTGTGGCTGTTTTCCTTTTCCCTTATGCGGGTGTTTTTCTTATCCTTCATGCAGGATTTGACCAAGTTGTAGTGGGAGACTTGGTGCTTTGCAAAGAAAACTGTACTGGAAATGAAACTTCGTATTTTGAATGTGAAAATGGTAGTGAAAATGCCACAAATGATAACACCAACACAGATGAAGTTTCTGAAACTGATATTCCTGAGGAAACAAATATCTTAGTTAAGGTAGGTTACCGGCAAGGTGGCACTGCTTTGGGTACTTGAAACAGATCTTTCAACAGAGTATTGGGTGTAGCTTGAAAGTTTGGCTGATTGTATAGTAAATATCTAAACAATGCTCAGATGCATTTAATGTGATGAACCGATGATTTCTCATAAGTTCAGATGAATACCAAGGACCCATATTTTCATGGATAATTTGTTGCAAAATGAATGGCAGGGGCCAATTAGGTGTAGTTACTTCATGTACAAATATGAATTTTCTGCTAATAAAAAAAATAAAATTGAGCAATGCATAAAAAGAGTATGCCTTATACTCTGATGGATAAGCCCGAAGTATCTCAACAAATAGATTCTGTCCTGAGCATGAGTAAAATGTGAATAGGAATTCATCACCATGTTTGTGTATGCTATCAGCTATGAGACAAGAAGATATAAAATCAGGATGATCTTATGTGCATTTAATATGCTTGAGTTGCATTATCTACTTATTTGAACCTAGCTGATAAGAGTGGTGATTACATTTGGACAGGTGGTGAATGAAGAAGATATAAAATCAGGAACTTATTCAGTCGATGATGTTGTCCTTCCATTGCCTGGGTGTGGATGAAGAATTAAAACTTCTCATTGCTATGATTTTGGTGAAGTTATGATGTTATAATAGCTCATACTGAATTTTCATATTTTAATGTTTTTATTTTAGGTCAAGAGTAATTTATCCGTCAAATGAAATTGCAAAAGTATACCATGATTTAGCAGAAAAGGTCAGCATTGTTCTGCGCTTTCTAATTTCCATCAATTATGCTACTTCTTCTGTCTCTAAATAAGCTTCACCTTTGCCTTTTCCGAGTCACAACTTGAGTTTGACTTCAAATATTTCATAAATTATATGTAGTATTAGTTTATAACACGAAAGTAATTTTAACGAATTTGTTTTAAATTATAGTTTCTGAATATTATTTATCATAACTTTTAGTAATAAACATAGAAAGATAGCAATTGTCACAGAAGAGCATTGGAGAAGCAAAGGTGACATTTATATAGGGACGGAGGATGTATCTTTTCCTTTGTTTAAAGTATTTTAGGAAATTATCTTGTATTGAAATGCAATGCTTACAATGATCACACAATTAGAATGTACAAGTATAATATGGACTCCAGAACATTAAGATTAAAGTCATTGTTAACTTGGGAGGAGGCTATAGGATTGCCAACTTTGGAGGCCATTAGGCTATAGGTCTTTAGTGTTGTAACAATTGGTCTAGCCGGCCTCTTATGATTGACCGGCCTCTTGGGTTTTCCTCATTTCCGGCCTTCCCTGCCACTCTGCAACTTAAGTGAAAAGCTAAGTTGCAAATATAGACTTAATGTTCATATGGACTTGCACGTTCATACATCAACCATCATATGAATATGGACTTACTAATGTCCATATTAATATTTCAATGTATCAAAAAAGTTATAATGTACAATAAAAGAAAATGAAAGGGATATATACTCGAATGCGTTTTACCTACTTTTGTCATGCTTTTGTTTGCCATTTGCCATTTGTTATAATGAGGTGGTGGATCCATTCTTGGAGATGGGTCACGACTACAAATGGTGATCAATGTATCCTATTCACAAGAGACTACATACCTTCAGAATTAAAATCCCAAAATGTAGCTTAAAACTCAAATCATTAACGTATTTTTAGTTTTTTCTTCCATTTTTTAACACTTAAAATTTTCAAGTCACCACCACTACCCCCCCTCCACCCTAGAACAACAACCCAATATAATACTCCCTCCGTCCCAAAAAGATCGTTACATTTCATTTCTTTGCGCATCACAAAAAGCAATGCTACTCACATCTAAAAATTCTAAAATTTACCATATTTACTCTTTATTATAAGATGAAATTGTTTTGAAAGTTTTTTTTGGCATTTGAGACGATATAAAAGTATTTTAAGGGATGCGCAAAAAATGAAACGTAACAATCTTTTTGGGACGGAGGGAGTACTAATTCTATTGGACTCTGGGGATCATGATGTATGCTGGCTTACCTGTGCAAAATATAAAGAGACGTCTTTGATACACCCTTCACCCTTGATGCATTGCTGCATTTACCATCCAAACCTTCATTGAATTTAATAAGAAAAAAAAGTTTAATGTGTCCGTTTGATTTAATCCTCTATTTACCTAAAGCTAATCATGGTCATTTATGACTCTTTATTTTCATCATCTCCGATGGAGCCAAAATTTCACCATTTTTTGGCTTTGGGGTGTGATGGAATAAATCAAAATGGATCTCTAAACTGTCTGCGCTTCTTTAATTAATGAAGTAGCAGTTAGTCAAGCAATGCAACTTTCGACGTTGAGTCGGGGGTCTCTTTGGAAACAGCCTCTCTACTTTCAAGTAGGGGCAAGGTTTGCATACACACACCCTCCCCAAACCCTACTCTTGTGGGATTTAACTGGGTTGTTGTTGTTATGACTCTTTTAGCTCAACAGGCAATGAATATAACCACACATGCACCCACCTTCTCCTCCCCTAGAAACCAATATCCTCCCTCCGTCCAGATTTGTTGTTCCCAAGCATGGTCATCACAACGATAAGTCGAGTAAAGTCGGTGAAGAGGAGACTAGTGGACTAGTCAGCCTACTAGTCATAGACTAGTCGACAAATCGTACTCCCTTTGTCCCAGTGTATTTGTCTAGTTTGACTTTTCGAGTTAAACTAGATAAAATTGAACTTCAATTAAATAAAAACCATAATGTATATGTGTATAAAAATGATTGTATTAGATTTATCTTGTTGAGAGATTTTTAAAGTTTTATTTCATTATACTACTATGCAATTCAAGTTGAGAGTAATTAAAGCCCAAAGTTTGTCCAGTTTGACTCAAACGGAGGTAGTAATAAGTAATGAAATTTTCTAATTTAAATATATTACCATTCACCATAGATAAATTTATAAGATAAATGTCATTACTATAACAACAATACAACATTATATTTAACCGTAGAACATAAAAACATTACAATCCGACAAGGTGTACGTAAGAAACAAATATCTTTCAATCTTAAGAAATAAGGTGTCGCGATGAAGTCTAGCAGCACTGCACAGGTTTTATTTGAAGGAGCTTTACTTGCCTTTAACATCTAATGAAATTTGGGTCAGGTTGGGTAAAGTCAGTTAGGGTTGCAAACGCCGACTAGTTGGTGATTAGGCGTCGACTGGGTGACCGCTTCGGCGACCGGACGCCTAATCTCCTTCAGGTGCTAGGCGATAACCAAGTTGCAATGTGCAAACTGCCAGGACGAGTAGTCGGTGATGACTTAACAATGTTCTCAAGTTGACCCGGCACACATATTTAGGAGAGTTAAAAATTGCGATAACATTCCAAAATTTCCCTCCAACATTATTAACCCAAAAAATTTGATGCTTGCATATGACGTGCAATGTTGCTCCGCTGCCGTTTAGGACGCCGCCCCCATTTGGAATACCGCTGCTGTCATCTAGAACGCCCTGGGGTTGATGATAGGGTTGCAGCGAACATGTCGTAGGTGGCTCCAATTGCTGCTCCTCAAGGTAGCTAAAAAAGATTGTGGTCAAATTCACATGGTGAATTGCGGTGAAGTTTTCTTCTAGGATCAATTTTTTTTCCACTAGACAAATTGGCCTTTCCACAATTTTTTTCTAAATTGATCTGCACATAGCTGCGCAGAAATTGGCGGCGCAGACTCTGGAATTGAAAGCAAACTCCTCGTACTGGTGGTCATATTTCAAGAACCCGGGCGCCGCCAGAGACCTCTGTGTCGCTGCTGTTACTGTGACACCGAACCTGGAACAAGACCTCTGGACCAAATTGTAGATATGGTGCAGATCAAAGCCGGAACTCCAACCATGAAATCCAAGTCGGAATGCTGCCAGGCCTGTTTGAAAGGAACGTTGTGGAGTTAAGTCGTGAAGAAGAACAAGTGAAGGGGGAAGAAAAATATGGCTGCGGCGGCTCCATCATTGAAACCGCGAATGTGGGGAGAAAATAAGAAAAAGGAAGGATGGGTGGAGGAGAGGAAAAGGAAGAAGGAAAGGGAGGAGTGGTAGATTATAGGGTAAATTTAACATTTAGGATTAAATATTTTTCCAAATAGGGAAATGGGAAAAAATATCAGGACGGGCCAAAAAGGAAAGTGGGAAGAACAAATCCGAACGGAGGGAGTATCACTTTTTTTCAAATACCTCAAACTTTTAATACCGCCCTTGTCTGGTCAACTCTTGTTTGTCGAGTGCAGCTGCGCTAAAGCAACTCTAATTGAACATTGATTTGACAGCTGTCTTTTGAATCATCTCCATTGTGTTCAGTGAGCCCTAATCACACTGAGAGTGAAGTGCCCGGGTGTACAGTACTACAGTTTTTGTTGAATGACACTTGTAGGCCAACACCGGTAGAACAATCTTCATTGTGTTCACTAAGGGTTGAGGGAACGGGTTTTTTAAATATGTGGCATGTTAGTAAACCTTGCAGTGCAAATAGCCACACCCTTTAGTTATTGACCACCATTGTCTTCTATCAATGAGGATTCTATGCACAGTGTTCTCTACAAGGATACATCACACTAAGAGAATTGGCAACAGCGAGCCAGTGCTTCGCCTCGCCATGTCATGTCAGCAAAACTTTTGGAAACCGTGGCATTTCACCATCAATCCACCCCTCGTTCCATTCCATGTGCGAGGCTTTACTCTCCTTTTTTTGAAAAATAAGAATTTTTTTATTATATTTTAAAGATAAAATAGGTATGTACTCCCTCCACCCTAAAATTAACTTCCTCTTTAAGTTTACAAGGGTTGACCAACATTATTTTCAAATCAATTTATTTAATTATAGTTGTAAAGTTTAAAAATAAGATTGATATTTTTAATAGCTACATCAAAAGTTCTACAAAACTAGAGGTGACATAACTATATTTTTTTTAAATCAAATGACTAATGAAAATATGCAAAGAAAGTGAATAAAGTTTCACCGTGTAAATAGTAACTAAGAAGATAATTTTAGGAGTAAGGACGGAGGGAATAATAAAATTTTTTATTAATTAAAGTACATCAAAAAAGTGTAAATAGTGACAAAGACAATGGCTTGCCACTGCATGACATGCCACTCCACTCACTTGCCACATTCTGGCTGGACAATTTGTTTCGTTTGAAATGTTCCATGTCACTGTGTGGTATTCCATTTTCAATTTGCCATTGCCCTTGCTCTAAGCTGATCCAACTGACCAATTTTGGAAAACTTTGTTTTATTCAAGTCTTCAAAATATGAAATAATATAATGGATGAGACGAGACTAAGAAATAATATAAATTAATAAGACAAGACAAATCATATGTGAAGTTGCAAACCAGGTTAGTCTTTCTTATGTACTCTGCCACTAGGTGCCTATTGATCCCCTAGTGTCTTTCTTGTTTGATCCTAATGGTTGGTTTCATTCCTGGGCAGGATGGCATCAAATTGGCTGAGTGCACACACAATGTCAAGTGAGTAACTGAAAGAGGCTTCTAACTTATATAACTTCTGATGAGTTATAGATTTTGTTAGCCATCATGTACTTACATTACATATACAATACAAAACATGTTATGCACAAAGAGTCTGGTGAACTTCACAATCAGGGAAGTGCTTCTTCTGGTCCTAATTAATTTTCCTCTTTATCCAAATCATACATATTAGGACAATCACTTCAATTTTTTAAATCATTCACACCTCATATTCTTTTACAAAAATTACTCTTATTTAACACATTGTAAAGTGTTAATGTTCAACATGGTAAAAGGAATTTAATAATCTCAAATTGTAAACTTGTTAGTCATTTCAAGCTGGTATATTGCTCTCTTCTGACCCTCCTGCAAAAACATTTTCAGTTTTCTCCATGTCAAGCTGAGACCACCCAAGATTCATTGTTTTGCAGCTTCAATTTTCTTATGTCTCTTTTGATTGCAGTTTTGGTACTTTACATTGGCTATTCGAATATCAGATTTTGAATTAAAGCTGTAGTAAATACTTTGTCTTAAACCCTTAAATATGGAACTAAATCCATGGAGTCAAGAACACCAATTCCCCTATTCGGGGAGCTTGGTTCATACATAGATGAAAAAGAAGAAACAAAGCAAAGAGCTAGCCTAAGTCCATAACTCCACCTCTAATTATAAATCAAAAAGTACATCAGCAGTTGGATAAAATGTAGAGTTAAATATGTTTTTAATCCCTATTATATCTTGTTTTTAGTCCCTGTAGAATAACTTTTGTTAGAGTCATCCTTACAAAAAAAATTTATTTTGAAAATGGTCCTTAAACGTAGTTAACACTTCTAATTAGTTGAGACAACACATTTATTTCATATTTAACATTTTTAGTCTTGCATTTTAATTACCTTGACAAAATTTACAAGCCTTAAGTATATAAAAAAACTGGGACTTGAAGATGTAATTTGATATAGGAAACCATTTATGACATGAGAATTGTGTCTGAAGTAATTAGAAACGCAAAACTAAGTTGTTGAGTATGAAATAGATGTATTATCTCAACAAATTAGAAATTTAATTATGTTTAAGGACGATTTTCAAACTAAATTTTTTTGCAAGGATGATTTAAACAAAAAATATTTTACAGGGACCAAAAACAAAACCCACCTGTTTTAAAAGGACTAAAAACATATTTAACCCTAAAATATATATCAACTTTTATGACTGGTGTAACAACTTTCTGCAGGGAGTTTTCGATAACCAGTATGACTGGTGGATATAGACGTGTTTTCCAAAAACCGAAGGAGTTTGAATGGTAAGATCACTCTCACACAATATAAAAGTTGAAATTGTAATAATTGAAATGTTTCTTGAAGTTGTATCTGTATTTATTTGTCAAGGTATTTATCACTTTTTCAGGGAATTGCTTTCTTATACTGATGGTACACAACCTCTGGTGGAAACAGATTGGGATATTATTGCTAAATCAATGCAAAATAGCCAGGTTAAGGGTTCAGAATCAGTTAAAGGCAAGGATGAAGTTGCAATTGGTATTATAGCAGATCCAAAGAATGTTGAAGCTGAGAACAAACATGACCAGGAACCAGGCGCAGAACCTGACTACAAGGATATCATTATAAGCAGAGAAGTGTCACAATCTGAGGAAGATTTGGATAGTTCTACTTCTCAGGGAAGCCAAATGGCTCTAAAAATGAGTTTTACCCTGCCTGCCTCTTGTTATGCAACCATGGCTGTGAGGGAGCTGCTGCGATCATCAACATCTGTATGTATTCATTAAAGTACCATCAAGCTTTGTGAAGATCAAATTTTATTTCTAGTTGAAACTGGGTTTCCAGTAGAAAAGTTGGTTAAAATCTTTCTTATAGTGCACAAAAACAAATACTTTCATATCAGTTGTACTCTCTCCTTTTCAGTGTATTTGTCCACAATGGTTTTTGCCCATGGGCCAAGGGAAAGGGAAAAAAAAGAAGAAATCGATCACCACACCCTTACTTTTTGGGCGGTAGAGTTAGATTATTAAGTGAGGCAAATAAGTCATTTTCACTTTATTTCTTTTCTTTGAGTGTAAGGTGGACAAATATATTGGATGGCCCGCAAAAGACTATTAGACAAATACATTGGGACATGGGGAGTATGACATTATCATAGCACAACCCCCTCTCCTCTCTTCCAAAGAAGAACAAACTACCTATGATTTTGATCAGTGTTATGCCATCATGGTGCCAAACAATTATATGCAAAAATATACAAGTAAAAAATAAAAATGCTTCCCTTAACGATGATGGCATTTGATTCCTGCCACTTGGTGTGTGTGGGTGTGGGGAGCTAACTTGCCTATTCAAGTGAAATGAAATAAATTTATATATATATATATATATATATATATATATATATATATATATATATATATATATATTACTTTGTGGGGATATTAAAATTCGTGTATTAGTTCCTGACCCATTTCTTCTCTTGTGCAGGTTGCATATCACAAGTCCTTAAATGAGTCATAAACAAGCCCACAGTTCACTTTGAAGATTTTTTTTCAATCCATTTTTCAACTATTGGATACAAGGTATTGCATCTCATATTGCTATTATACATTGTGCATTGAAGAACACTAACACTTGGAAAGTGTGTGAAACCAAGTGATATTAGAACAGGATAAAATGTGCTGAAACTCTTAGCATAATTTCACTAGAGCATAGTTGTGATGATCATTCACTACTAGAAACTTGAGAGTGGGTAGTTTAACTCTAAGTCAATTAATTTAATATTCTGCTTATAAGCCTATTTCAAGTTTTCAACTACTTTCTCCAACGTGATCACATTTTCCCTTTTTTTACGTCTTAAATCATTTGTTGTACTCCGTATTACATAAGAACATCTCCAACCCATCCTTCATTTTTTGTCATGTAAATCTTAATTTAGTTTCTCAATAGTGTTTTAGCAACTCATTGTTTTACACTCACTCCAACCATAGTTTCTATTCCCTCCATCCAGAGTATTTATCCAGTTTTGACTTTTTGCAGTCAACCATAATCGACCTTTGACCTATAATTAAATCAAAATTATATGATATATTAAGGAAATAAAACAATATCTCAAAAATATTTTACTAGATAGATCTAATGATTTTTTTGTATCAATGTCTTATACGAATATCAATTTTATTTACTTTATTGTCAAAGTTTGCCAATTTTGACTTTGAAAAGTCAAATTGGACAAACATCGAGCTAGTATATTATAGTTTGTAACATCCAACCTTATTCCTTCTGTCTCCAACATATTCACACCCTGCAGAATCGAAAACGCATACCTTCTGCAAACTCAGTTTGCCGCCTTAAACCAACTGCCTCCCGCCACAACCAAGACTCTTTCTTAATTAATAAAAAAGAGTTATTGTTATCTTTTTCATCTCCATTGGCTCAATTCATTGCATTTTCTGTGTGTGGTTTTGACCTTAATGAGCAATTGGTGTTAGAAGAGATCATTTACTGAGACGATTAAGAAAGGCATGAGCTTTGGTGTTAGAGTGAAGGATGTCATTTTGGGTCGGGAGAGAAATAGATGATGCATAGTGACCTTCAAATATAGGTGAGAAAGTTAAAATAGAATGCCTTTTGTTTTTCAGGTCTTCCATTGGAGCTCATTTTTAGGATTATATTATTTTATTAAGGGCAAGGTTCCCATGACATTGGGAACCAATGTCATGGGAACCAAGGTGTTTTATCAAATGGGTAGCCAAAGTAGATAAAGAGCAGTTTGTAGTTTGGTTGTGTGTCAGTTTAGTAGAACCAATGTCATGAGAACCAATCTCATTTGATTCTTTATACATCTAAATTTATTACATTATTAGGGTTTTGAAAAACCTTTTTTATCCTTTTGTACATCTATCAAATCATCTTTAATCTTTCCATTACCTTAATTTAAAAATTGTATCGTCAAAAATAAATTTAGAAAGTGACATTCTTACATTTGCCTAAATTTTGCTAAATCTTAAATGTTAAAGAATCAAAGGACGAGCGGTATATATAATATTGGAAGCGTGAAACTTGTAATAAGATAACCACAATTTCACAACTTCTACAAATCAACGTAGTCTGTATACGGAGAGGCTTTCATGATATTGGAATTTCATGTTATGGGATGACTTATGATCGCTATGGTGTCTTATTCGTAAAATTGATGGTTTCTACCCCTATAATCTTTTGGTAAACGCTCCTGACCTGAACATACATCCCCCAACACCTTCAATTGCACCCAAAATTTATGGGTTCCGTTTATATAAAAAACTTATTGAAGTTTCTCGGACAACATTATGAAATAATGAGTGAGCAAATACCGAATTGATACCAAAATATTTTTGAGAAGGTCGGAAAATTGAACTGAAATCGAATTTAAAAAATCACTAAAATACTGAACCATACCAAATGTTCGGTTTGATATTTGAGAAGGGTACGAGATAATTTCTTACATCGAAAATCCCAAATCAAATATATATACCAATAAATTGTAAATATCTTTTTATATTTTTTTATTAAATAATAAGTTTTCTTTAAAAATAATTGAATCAAATTTTATTATGTTTACATTGTATTTTTATTCGAGTTTTATTTTTTTAATAGACGAATTTAAAACTATTAACATGCATTTTTGAAATTTGAAATTTATGTTTAAGTAAATATACATTCAAGTTTTTTTTATTATAAAAAATGCTTTGTGATATTTTAAAGTTTAATTAGACTATATTTGTATTCATCTTGATTTGTACTGAAACTGATACCGAACCAATCTGAACTAAAATTTTGCGATCATGATCGGTATGACGTAAAATCTCATATCGAATCAAAATGTTTGGTACGATGCCGATATAAGCAAAATATGGTACCATATCATACCATGTTTACCCCTATAACTCGATATGGAATCAAAGAATAAATCTTCCTAAGAATAATATTCCCTACGAGGAGTTAGGGATGATAATGAGTCGGGTGCGGCCGTGTTTTAATATTTCAAAATCTGACCCAACTAAGGTCGAATTTATGCTGATTTTGGTGGGTCGGGTTCGGATACTTATTTTATTGGTTTGGATTCGATTTAAGGTTTGGTAGGGTCAGTTATAGTCGAATTTGTGTTAGAATATTAATAAATGCATTCATTACTGAATTATGATTGAAACACTAAAAATACTTTTTTTCGTCCCAAATTAAATTGCCTATTTACTGTTCACAGGTCAAGCTTTATTCATTTTCTTTCATCATTAGACATTTGATAAAATAAGATAGTCATGGCATCAATAGTTTTGTAGATCTGTTCATATAGTTTTAAACATGTATTTTTTATTTTTTAATAACACACCATTTTTCATATAAAATGATTTGAAAATAATTTTAACCAGATATCTTAAATCGAAACAAGCAATTTAAATTGAGACGAAGATAGTATAAAGTTTTTAAAGATGACATAAAAGCTAAGATTTTAACAAAAGTCATTGTGATCACATGACCATCAAAACAAATAAACAATACTTCTTCCATTTCAAATTACACCTTGGTTCCCATGACATTGGGAACCAGTATCATGGGATGACCCAGGGGTGCTCCGGTGTCCCGTTTGTAAAATTGACGATTCCTACCCCCTAACTCCCCTGGTAAACCCCCCCACCCCGCCCCGACCCGAACACGCCCCCCATCCCCTTCAATTTCTCCCCCAAGTTAATTTTGACTTTGGGAGTCAAATTTGACTCCAAAGNTTGGGGGGGGGGGGGGGCGTGTTCGGGGCGGGGGGGTTTACCAGAGGGTTAGGGGGGATATAAACTGTCAATTTTACGAACGGGGCACCGGAGCACCCCTGGGTCATCCCATGACATTGGTACCCCCCCCCCCCTTCAAATTAAGTTGTATGTTTATTATTTGCTGGGTTAAACTTCATTAACTTTCTTTCCTTATTTTCTTACTTATTAGAAAAAATAATATAATCATGTCAACTCTTGTTTTGTAAAAATTTTGATGTATTTGTTTAATATGTAAGTTTAATTTTTCTAATTCCGCTCCAATTTTCTAATAAATTATGTTGAAAATAACTTCAGCCAAATATCGTAAATCGAAACATAGGTTGTAAACTGAATACTTTATTCATCATAGGTTGGAGCATATATACATACATGTGAGGAGGTAAAGTCTAGGCAAATAAGGAAACATAATTTTCTGAATAATAAGAGTAATACATCTGCCATATATAATACTTTCTCTCAGATATATCATCGTTCATTATACACTAACAATACTATGCTACTATATAATATTGGCTACGTTCTTCAAGACCTATATTAACTGATACTACACGATCAGTTATGCTGCCTCATTAAAAACCGTACTAAGAAAGCCAAGTGGGACAAAACTTAATCAAGGGAAAAAGAGTACAGAATGTATAATGCTCCCCCTCAAACTAATTTATCTCCTTTAGCCTGCAGTGAGTTGCTCAAATCTATGTCTAGGTAGAGATTTGGTAAAGAAGTCTACCAAATTTTTGCTTGATTTAACTTGAAGAACATCGATCTCTCCCTCTTTCTGCAGGTCATATGTTAAAAAAATAACTTTGGTGAGATGTGCTTCGTTATGTCTGCCTTCATGTAGCATACCCTGATCTGAGTTATGCATATTGCGCTGTCTTCATATATAATTGTAGGATTCATCTTGATTTCTTCCAAACCGCATGCTCCTTGTATATGATCAATCATCGATTTCAGCCATATGCACTCCCGACCACCTTCATAAAGTGCTACCAATTCTGCTTGATTTGATGATGTTGCTATTAGAGTTTGCTCTGTTGACTTCTAGGAAATTTATGTACAACCGTATGTGAACACCTAACCTGTTTGAGAACGTGCATTGTGTGGATCTGATAAGTACCCATCATACTTTATAAGTTGGGACTTTTCATCTTTCTGAAAGAACTGGCCTAAGTCTCGTGTCCCACAAATATATTAGAATACTTAATTTATTCCATTTGAATGTCTACGTGTTGGATTCAAATTGAATCTTTATAATGAATGTACTCAAAATGCAATATCAGGCCTTGTATTGTTGCAAGATACATGAGTCCTTCAACCTCTTCTTGGGGGCGATAAGGTTCTTTATGTAAATCTAAGGATCGGACAACTATGGTATGCTCAACGAATGTGCTTTAAGTTGGACATGAGTTCAAACCCTTTTGGATATTCTTTTAATATTATTTTTCAGGTTTTGATAAATGACAAATACAATGATGAATGAAAATTTTATTTTTGATTCGAGAAAAGCAAAGAAGTGTATCAAGAAATTTACATCATTCATCCCTACGCAGGATTTTTTTGAAGTGAAGTGAAGATTCCGAAGTCTTTTATTTTTTATTGAGTCGTAGAAACATTTGTAAGGATGACAAATATTTTTCACTTAAACAAATTAATTTTGAGGGTTAACTATTATTTTTTAGAGTAAGTTGAAAAATAAACTTTTCTTTATCTAGAAATATTTTGTTGGGTCAGTTACAAAATATGTGTCAAATTTTCTTAGAATATATTTTTAAGATATACATTTTTTGTGGATAAAAAAATATATTTTAAATATTTTTTGTGTATATCGTTTGACACACAAAAATTTTTTGTGACGCATTTCTACATCCAAAATACCATTTCATTTATTCAAAAATCCTTTTTGAAAAATATTGAAGTGATGGGGAACCTCTTGCCTGATTTTTGTATCCCAAAACAAAATATTAACTCCAAAAACGTACTTCATCTCGAACAAATTCTTGGATCCTTCTTGTTTGGGCATTATATGTCAATGGATCGACCCCGACGTTGGATCGATCACATAATTTTTCCTTGTGCGTAGAAACTGTTTCGTAGGATCAATCACCTGGTGTGGATCGATCACCAAAGTTTAGTTCGTAATTCTCCATAAATTTTTCAAGTCATGGTGATCGATCACAAGGCTAAGATCGATCACCTGAGCTAAAATTTGTCAAAAATATTTTATCTCTTCTCCCCAACGAATTTATTTTCCTTATCGTTATAAAACCCCTCTTCCTCCTCCACTTCACGTACATTTCAAGCACTTCTTTCACTCCCTTTCACACATTCCATTCTTGCTCCATTCTTGATCATCAAAATACTAGTTTGAGAGCTAGAAACTTATTTTTATTGAGTGCAAAGTATTGTCGTTGATTAGAGCTTTACATTTAAACACTACTTGCTCAATTGTGTGAGCCTTCATTCTTGTGTTGTTAAACTCAATTTTCTTTGAGTTTGTGGATTCTAAGACTTGTGTGATTCAAGTCTTGATTGTGAGAAGTTGAGGCTTGTGAGATTCAAGTTCTCGAGTTGTAATAAGTTTTTCAAGCACTCGTTGAAGATTAAAGTATAGTAGGACCTTTGAGAGAGTCTCTCAGAGAACTGGACTAGGCACGAGGTGGTGAACCAGTATATATCGTGGTATTTTTCTTTCCCTTTACTCTCTACATATTTCATGCGATTTTTTCTTTACGTTTATCACCCACGCGAAAAACACTCATTCTAGAAAACATCTCTATTGAGTTTGTTCTAATTGTAATTATATTTACAGTTGTTTTTTATTTGGTTAGATCTGATCTGGTCTGATATGATTTTAATTGAAGTAAAGAATGAGTTGAAAAAATAAGTGAGAGTAGAATGGACCTTAAGGAAGAGAGTGTCTTAATGGGGAAGGTGTCAGCTAATAAGTAAAATAAAAAAAAATGCTAAGAGTACACTAAAAGTGTACACCACACTCTCTCCATCACACAATTTTGGATGTGGATAAGAATGAGTGTATTACACCAGTGCTCCTCGTGGTTCGGTAAATATGTACTGTTGCCCATGACCTCTATGCTTTCAAAACTTACGTTGTTGTCCATCGTGGTTCTTATATTCCTACGTAAATACTCTCTAGACTAAATTAAAGTACTAAACTACCCCTTTAAATTTAGATAAATAGCTCCAGTGTCCCCTATATTTTTGGAAATGAGCCCCAATGCCCCTCTTTTCTTCTTTCTTGTTTCTCTTTTTTCTACTCTTTTTTCATAAACGTTTTATAAATTCTTTTTTTTGTAAATATTTTTTAAAATTGAAAATGTTGAGTTTGAAATGAAAAATAATGAAATAAAAATAATTAACGTATGAATCATTTGCCTCAAATTAGACTTTTTTTAGTCCAAGAAATTTCTAATTTTGTTTGAATTCATTGGGGGAAAAACATAGAGTAACGACATTCTAAACCATTGTCCAATATATTTCTTGCATGAATTCATTTTCATTTTCGTATAAAAAAAATTTCATATATTTTTCTTCTTTTACGTTTTATTTTTTGCATTATTTTTTCTTATATTTATTTTTTTTTATTTTCTATTTATCACTTTCTTTTTTACACTTAGGCTCATTTCTCGTTTCCGGTTTATTTTGTGGTATCATTTAATTTTTTTGTTTTTTGTTTTTTTCTCGTTTTTTTATTCTAACTCCATGTAAGTTTTTTACTTTCTATTTTTAAAACTATTTTTATAAGATTTCTTGTATTTTAGTCATAATAGAAGTAAAATAAAAATATAAAAATATATGAAAAAAATAGTTTAATAGAAAAGAGAAAATGAACTTTTTTAGATAAACAATGAAAATAATTAATTGGAGGTAAACAAAATATATTTTTATTTTTCTATATCATATTTTATTTGAAACACAAACCATATTTATTTTTTAAAAAATTTTAAAATATAGTTTAAAAAATAAGTTTGAAATATTTATGAAAAAAGAGAAGAAAAAAGAACAACAATGAAAAAGAAAAGAGATGGGGTGTTGGTGACCATTTCCAAACCCCAGGAGAGACCAGAGCTAATTATCTAAATTTAACAGAGTAGTTTCGTCTTGAGAATGATTTGCGTAGGAATATCAAAAACTATGAAGGACAATGACGTAACTTTTGAAAGAATGGGAAGTAACATTGCACATTTACTAAATCATAGGAGATATTGGTGCAATAAACTCAAATAAGAAAATTAGAGAATTGATAAGAAATGTGTGGTGAATATAGTGATTGTGTACAAATGGGTTTAACAACACAATGCATTTATGTAAAGAAAACAATTACTCCTGGGAGTATAATTTGTGTACAAATGGGTATAGCAAGACAATGGGAGTATAATTTATTCATGTGGACAGTTATTTCTTTAGAGTGGGGTTGGCAAGATTTAAAGAAATTCAAATCTATGTCGTAGTTTTATGCAAACACTAACCACAAAATTCTTCTAATAAGAAACCAACACTGTTTGTTAAATGAACCCAAAATCAGAACATTTAAATCTTTTTTAGGGAGGGAATATCTAATGGATATTTTTATGTGCTTATATGCTAGTCAAAATGCTTTATAAGCAATTTTAATTCATAAGTCAGCTGATAACATGTTTTGTATACTTATATACGTTGACTTATAAGCTATTTATAGGCCAGAAAATATAAGTAAGTTTTAGCAACTTATTTTTACACAGGTTTTTTAATTTTTCTATTTTGATCCAATTATCTACAAAACTGTCCTTCACTATTTATGAATATACTCAAATGACTTATCTATCACTAAAGTCATTTTACTCTCATTAAAGAATATTTGATGTATAAACAGTTTATGTGTTAAAAAAAGTTTATTAACAATAAGCTACTCTGTAATAAACACCAGTATAGAAAAACACCATCTTAATTGGTATGCCATCTCCTACAAATACATAAAGGGAACATATTCTTTGTAGTACTTTAAATTAATACTCCATTCGTCCTAATTAAAGCTGATGGGTATATCCTTATACCCGGCCTGAATAACCGAAAGGGACAGGTCAAAATATGACCGGTCACTTTCTTCAATCACCAAATGAGGACAACTCTTCGATTGAGATTGGTCCAAAGTTGACCGGTCACTCTCCTTAAAAAGTGACCGGTCACATTTTGGGCAATAACCAAAATGTCACCTAATGTTATGGAGGATATTCCGGAAGACCAAAGAGACGGGTTGAACTCAAGAAATGACCGGGTAACCTTTGAGGAAAGGTGACCGGTCATGTAACTTTACTTGGCTAACATTGGTCCAGTCTCTTAGGCATGGTGAACCACGCCAAAGATCAGGGGACCACCCCGCCGCTCATCCATCACGAGGCACACACTGAAAGGAATATTTGTCATCTTGCAGGGTTGATTGGATTGAGAATATCCATCTTATAGTCATTGATTGAACAGTGCTTCTTGGTTGTATTCATGACAAGTCTATGATTGAATAGTAATTCCATTATGTACAATGACCTTCCCACGAGCTTCCTATTTTGTCCATGAATGAACAGAGGAAGGTCACAAATCCTCCTCTATAAATATGATGATTGTGGATAGAGGAGGGGATCTAAGTTTTATCTCACTAAAAGTATACTCTTGAGACAGAGTAAGAAATATAATTCGAACTGAGGAGATTTACCTGGTCTAGGTCATACTTTGTGTTCTTGTTGTGTGTATTTTATTACTGGTCGAGTGTGTCCAGGTCGGACCTGGTCAACCCACCCAGCTATATTTACACCATCATTTTTGGCACCGACCGTGGGACCAGATTTGTGAAGTTTTTCGACCAGGTCAAAACTTTACCCCCACGAAATATCCACTATCATGTCTTCAAGCAACCACACCATTGTTTCAAGCCAGGCCCTGAGTGAAAGCACTCCTGCCATCCCACTGCTGATGATGAGCATGGGGACGACCTTTGCCCCGATCACCACGGTAGAATCGATTGGGATGATCCCAATCATGTCAACCCCTACTCCTACACCAACGACGACAATGTTCCCATGCTCGATAACAACACCTGGGGGAGCATTCACACCATATCCATCAAGCTTGGCTCAATTTTTCGCTGACCCGGCAAATGCTCAGGCTCTACAGGGCTATCAACAGGTGATGTCCATGATGCAACAGGCAGGGGGCTTCATGCCATTTGCTTATCATGGCATGATGGCACCAATCATGATGATCCCTATACACCCGGTGAATTTGACAGGGGCCATGGACATGGCGACACCCTCAATAGCTAAGCCCAGCAAGACCCGAGATTCAGCGTTCAAACGCCTGGGTGATAAAGAGTCTGCCAAGCTACGTCTTGGTCTTGAGATGGGTCGGACTAGCGCGATGGAAAGACTTGGCGGGAGTCGTCCAGCCCAATCACGTCGTTCTAGGGAATCTGAGACGATTCACCTAGACGAGGAAGAGACCGAAAGTCAGCCCAGGGCGTCGGCATACACCAAGCTCTCATATGATGAGGATGACTTGCACAAGATAGAGAGCGTAGCAAGAAAGCTACGCGCCTTGGAGGAAAAAGTAGAAGAGAAGGCAGGAGCAAAGAAGCACACCCTGGAAAAATCACCTTTTTCGGCCAGGGTACATGCACACACATTAAGGCGGAAGATCAAGTTGGACATGGAGAAATTCACTGGAAAGGAGGATCCAAACGTCCACCTTGACACCTTCCATAATGCAACGCAAATGGCCGGGTGCACTGATGCTAAGGAGTGCCTACTCTTCTTCTCATCCTTGAGAGGGAGGCCAGTGGAATGGTTTAACAGCCTTCCTCATGGTAAAATAGGGTCCTTTGAGAAACTTGCTGAGGTTTTCCGCAAGAAGTACCAGGACAATTGCATCAAGAGGAAGAAGTTTACCTACATTAATACGGTAGGACAGAGGGAGAAGGAGTCCTTATCTGAGTTCTTAACCCACTAGAGGGATGAGGTTGACAACGTAGAAGAGATGGAAGATAAGACGGTCATGTCTTTGCTGATGAACGTCTTCCGGTCGGGTGACCTCTACACTGAATTTTGTAGGAGGCCACCTTCCTCTTACCAGGAAGCCTTCAATACGGCATGGGAGTAGGCCGAGGCGGAGGTCTTGAACAAGAGCAAGCGGGAACTGGAGGAAGGCTATACAAGGGTGAAATCCGATAAGCCGAAGGAGGACGACCAGATGGGAGGGTCCAAGCCAAGGGCCACATATGATGGAACGGTCCATCAAATCAGGGATGAGAAGAAAGGGGAACAACCCAAGAGGCCCTGGACAGAGAAGTGGTGTACCTACCACCAATCTGACTCCCACAACACGGCGGACTGCCGAAATGTCAAGGTTGTGCTCAAGGAGATGGCCTTGAAGGAAGAGCTTGGGGAAGGTTATGCAATTGGTCATAAGAAGGATCCAAAAACAAATACCTGGACCCGTCCTCAGGAAAAAGATCATGGGAGGAGAAGAGGTAAGGATAACCACAAGCTGAAGAAAAAATTCATCGAGATGATTGTTGGAGGCCCAGAAGGCGGGGATACTGCCTCTCAGCGGAAGAACTGGGCCAGGAGCCTGCACGTAGCGGTGGTTTCCCTGAATCACAAGGGAAGCAGGCAAGGAGAGAGCCTATCACTTTCACTGATAGGGATCTGCCCAGAACGGGGGGAGACCATAATGACCCATTGGTCATTACAATGGACATCAATGGAGCTGATGTAGCCAAAGTCTTGGTTGATACTGGGAGCAGTGTCAATGTTTTATACTTGGATGCTTTTAAAAAGTTAAAACTTGACAGTTCCATGTTAAGGCCATTGCAAACTCCATTATCAGGCTTCACTAGAGCTAGCATAGAAGCGGAAGGTCAAATCACCTTACCAGTTACCTTGGGGTCGGGTAACAGAATAGTGACCAAACAAATGAGATTTGTTGTGGTCGATATCAAGTGTGTGCATAATGCCATTCTAGGTAGGCCTGGAATCAACCAGGTCAGGGCCATTATTTTTATGGCACACTTGTGCATGAAATTCTATACTCCAAATGGAATCGGGGAGGAAAGAGGTGATCAGAAGAATGCACGATCCTGTTACCTAGAAGCGGTCAAGAAGATGACCCGCCAATTCGAGCAAATTGAATTGGTCTCCCAGCAGGTGGACAAGGGTGAGGAGAAGGCTAGGATCGAACCGGATGCAAACACGGAGGAGATCCAGATTGATACTTCCAACCTTGAAAGGAAGGTTAGAATTGGGGCTGATCTTCAAGAAGAGCTAAGGACTGAGAATTTCCAGGTGTTGACCAGGTATAAATCATTATTTTGCCTGGAGTGTTGCTGATATGCCCGGGATTGACCGATCAGTCATTTGCCATCGCCTCTTTGTTTTTGAGGGGTCCAGGCCTGTAAGACAGAAGAAGAGATTCTTGGCAAGTGAACGGAGGGACTTCGTGAAAAAAGGAGGTCAAAGACCTACTTGAGGTAGGTCATATCAGGGAAGTAGATTACCCTGAATGGCTAGCCAATGTTGTCCTGGCCCAAAAAGGTGATACCTGGAGGATGTGTGTGGATTACACAGACCTCAATAAGGCATGCCAAATGGACTCCTACCCTCTCCCTAGTTCGGACCAAATGGTGGATGAAACCGCCGGGTGCGAGTTGCTCAGTTTCATGCATGCCTTTAAAGGGTATCATCAGATCTTCATGGCGGAGGAAGACGAGGAGAAGACAACCTTTCTCACTCCGGACGGGACATATTGTTACAAGGTAATGGCCTTGGGGTTGAAAAACTCAGGGGCAACTTACCAGGGGATGGTCAACAAATTGTTCAGGCCTTTGCTTGGACGGACCATGGAAGCCTATGTGGATGATATGCTGGTCAAGAGCAGGGTAGCCAGCACACACGCTCAGGACCTAGAAAAATGTTTTGAGATTATGGCCAGGCATAATCTCAAACTCAATCCAAAGAAGTGTGTTTTTGCTGTGAGAACGGGGAAGTTCATGGGCTTCATGGTCACAAAGAGAGAGATTGAGCCAAATCTTGAGAAGGCCAGTGGTGATGCAACCCCCAATATCGGTAAGGGATGTCCAGTGGTTAACAGGGCGCTTGGCGGCCTTAAACCGATTCTTGTCCAGGTCGGCAGAGAAGGCCTTGTCTTTCTTTAAAGTTTTAAAGAAAGCCAACACCTTCCAATGGGATGATGAATGTGCCAAGGCATTCGAAGAGCTAAAGACATACCTGACTTCGGCATTGTCCTGTCCAAACCGGAGACGAATGAGACACTATACCTCTACTTGGGGGTAACTCAGATGGCCGCCAGCTCGGTCTTGATGAGGGATGATGGGGTCTAGAGGCCCATCTACTATGTAAGCAAGGCCTTAAATGGGGCGGAAAGTAGGTATACTCCCACAGAGAAACCTGGGTATGCTCTTTTCATAACAGCAAAAAAACTTACTTCCTACTTTCAAGCACATCCCATTGTTGTATTAACCGACCTACCATTGGGCACGGTCATGAGGGACTCCACCTCATCGGGAAGAATGATCAAATGAGACATGATGTTGACTCAGTTCAGCATTGAATATCGTCCGAGGACGGCAATAAAAGGGCAGGCTGTGGCTGACTTTCTTGTGGAGATGACGGGTCACAAGGAAGAAGAACCAACCAGGCCAGTCACTGAGCCTTGGTGGTCAATGTCGGTTGATGGAGCTTCTGGACCAAAAGGTTACGGGGGAGGTGTGGTATTCACAACTCCGGAAGGGTTCAAGGTATACCATGCCTTGATCTTTAATTTCAAGCTCACAAATAATGAGGCAGAGTACGAGGCATTGATAGGGGGTCTGAGATTGGCCAAAACCCTACAAGTTACATGCCTCAGGATTAAATATGATTCAAGCTTGGTGGTGGGCCACATCAATGGCAACATGGAGACCAAAGGAGAAAAATGCAGAGGTACAGGGACTTGGAAAGGGCACTACTGAAGGGCCTAACCGAGTATGTGATGGAGCAAATTCCAAGGGGGAGAATACTGATGCTGACTTGCAATCAAAATTAACTCAAACAGCCCCGGAACATGTGTCTAAACTGGCCAGGATCAAAACACTGGAGAAAGCCAGCATTGAAGGGCTTCTTGTTAGCCTGATGGAGGAGGATGGACAGCCTAATTCGGATCAAGCGGGATCAGATGATGTATGGCTGGATGATTTGGTCAGGTACTACACGACCAGGCAATTCCCTGAAGATGAGGACATGGTGAGAAAAGTAAAGTTGAGGGCTCCAAGATTCCAAGTGCTTGATGGAAGGCTATACAAAAGAGCTTTTGGCGGTCCGCTTCTGAGATGCTTGACCATGGCAGAAGCGGAAAGAGTGATAGCTGAAGTTCATGAGGGTGTCTGTGCAGCCCACCAAATGTCCGGGACACTCACACAAAGGAACATTTTGCTAGGTTATTTTTGGCCTACAATGAACCAAGATTGCGAAAAGTATGTCCAGAGATGCAAAACTTGCCAGGTGTTCTACAGGTTTCCGGGAAGGCCTGTGACGTACTACCATCTAATTTCCAACGTCGTTTCATTCGCAAGCTTTGGGATGGACATCATAGGAGCCTTCCCTCAAGCTCAAGGGAGAAAGAAATACGTAATGGTTGTTATCGACTATTTTACAAAGTGGGTAGAGGCTGAGGCTTATGCAACCATTACAACCAAACAATGCCAGCGCTTCGTATGGAAGAACATCATCACTCGATTCGGGTCGCCGCGGAACATCGTGATGGATAACGGGCCTCAATTTCGGAATCCAGGGTTCACCAAATATTTGGAGGACTTTGGGATTACTCATAACAAGGCTTCCGTGGCGTACCCGCAAGGGAATGGCTAGGTGGAAAATGCGAACCGCACGATAGTCGATGATATCAAGAAGCAGTTGGGAGAAGCTAGGGCAAATTGGTTGGAAGAGATGCCACACATTATCTGGGCATACAGGGTCACTTCCAGAAGGGCCACACGGGAGATGCCTTTTGTCCTTAAATACGGGTGTGAGGCCAGATTACCAATCGAAGCAAAAATAATGACCTTTCGAGAGAAAATCTATGAGGAGAAAGGGAATGAAGAGGACCATATGGCTGAGTTGAACTTGCTAGAGGAAAGGCGGATGGTCGCCGAAGCTAAAATGATTGAGTATCAGCAAGCAGCCAAGGCCTATAATGATAACAGGGTAGGACCTCGATACTTCCAAGTGGGAGATAAGGTCCTAAGACGAAGGGAGGCCAGCAAACCAGGAGATGGTGGAAAGCTCGCAAAGAAATGGGAAGGCCCGTATAGGGTCACAACAGTACTACGCCCTGGTACATACAAGTTAGAAACAATGGAAGGTCGAGAGTTAGAGAGGTGCTGGAATTCCCACCACCTCAAAAAATTCTACCGATAGGCCAAATTTGGCAGGGCATGTACTTGTAATACCCCTTCGATGATAAATAAAAGATTTCTTCAATACTTGTGTTGCCATGTCAATAATACTTGATGTAAAACGAAAGGTCAAAATAAAAAAAATATACCCTTGAGATAGGGGCCTTGATGTTGAGGTATAGCCTTGAGATAGGCTGGGTCTGGAAGAGGACTCGCGTCCATACTTACATGGATCCCTACCAAATTTTTGTTTGGGTAGGGGCAAAAAGATGCCAAAAGAAAATTTGTTTATCGTCTTGCATGAGCCATCCTTTCCGGATTGAAAGGTCCAGGAAAAACTAGAACTCACTTCAAACGCATAACATATGGACATGTAGGATTGGATGAGGGCCGGTTCTCACCGGCATACCCCCACGAGGGAAGATTGGGTTGGCTAAGTCAACCTGATGTTTAAAGAATGGCACATTAAAAGACTTAAAACCTGGAAGAGGGGCCCTGGAAGAAGAGTGTTGCCTGGAAGAAGGCTGGACCTTGGAGATGGTTCACGATCATATGACATGGTCAAAATCTCCGGAGATAGATCGGGTCTTGACGCTGAGACTTAAGTCGAAAATCGTTTCGAAATATTCGTTCGAAGTTCGATCAAGGTCGGTGTTGAACATGACATGCAGGCCAGATGGATATAAGAAAAAGGGCATGGTCAAAAAGTGACCGGTCACTTTCTGAATGTTCTGGATTGGCAAGAAAAGGCGGAGGGAAAAATTTAAAATTGACCGGTCAAATTTGAGAAAAGTGATCGGTCACTTTTGAATGGTTGGATTTGAGGAAATCAAACAAATCTGGAAAACTTTGATTTTGACCAGTCACATTTTTTACCCGGCACCTGGACAGAAAATTAGAGGCAAGACTGGTGACGCAACGTGACCAAACCATTGGAAGTAGATCATGACGAGATCAACCTAGACGTTTATTACATTTCAACCTGGAAATAAGGCGGTTCAGAAGACTAGTAAAGACGAGGTGCCCTGGACATTTCCAAGACTTGGACGTTTCAAAGACGTGCTTGACTTGGAGGTTTTCAAAACTTATATCTCAAACATTCTTCAAACGTTTCAATGTAGCCTACTAAACCTGGACGTTTTCGAGACTTGCACTTGACCAGGACATGAGATGGCCTGGACATTTTGAAAAATTACACGAGGTGACCTGGACGTCTTAAAACACAAGTCAAATTGGTTGAACATCTATTAGACCTGGCTATTCTCTGGACTTGAGATTACCTGGACATTCTTAGAATGATTCCTAAGGTATAAGGCCATTTACTTTTATTGACATGGAAGTTCAATCAAATATGTTCTTCATAAGGCAAGTCAAACCAGGCAACTACAAAGTGAGACTAGGCAAGAAAACAACCATGCGAAAGAAGAAACAACCATGCTAAATGTAATAAACAAGCCGGTAAATATTTTGAGCATGCGAGGAGAAGATTATATTCATTAAATCAAAACAGGCCGGACATCCCCCAGGCCTTGGGAAATTCAAAGTTGTTTTTTCAAAATCTACCCTAACCTATTCTAAAGGGAAAGGGGGGTTGGCTCTTCCTTGTACAAGGCCGGGTGCTTCATGGCTTCCGGGTCAAAAGTAGCATCCCTCTTCTTGAGCTTGCCATAGAGAGGGGATCTCTCAGCCTTCTGGCCACACTGGTACCCATAGGACCCGATCTCTGTGATCATTGTCTTCCCTTCCAGCTCCATGTACATGACTTTGAAGAAGTCCATGGTTTCCTCTGGTTTGGTGAGAATAGACCGGGCTACTTCCATGTGATGGCAAGCGGCCCAGTCGGCAGCATCATTAGGAAAGGATTGCTCCTTTGCCCAGGCAGATTCTTCAGCCTGACCCAGCGCATCCTCAAGCTCGGCAACCTTTCTCTTCCCTTCCTCTTCCAAAAGGGCAGACCTGGCCCTGTCCTCCTCTAGCTTGGCTCTTTCCGCCATCAGCTCTTCCTCCAGCCTCTTCTCCCTTTCAGCCCGGTCATTGATCTCCAACTTGGCATAGTCAAGGAGGAGGGCAAGTTGGGAGACCTGGTCCTGTGGCTCCAAGAGTGATTGGCCAACTTCTTCTGAAATAACCCCGGCCTGAAGATTCAAAATAGAGGTATATCAGTAAAAGTGAAGGGAACAATTAAATCGGAAACAAAATTAGAGATTGGATACCTTGCGAAGTCTTTTTTCCAAGGCTAGAAAGGCATCTTCAATGGAATCCCCCTTCAGGTCTAATGACCCAGTCTTCTTCTACTTGCCCCCCTTGGAACTCTTTTTGGCGCCCTTCCTTTTTTGTCCTTAGGCACGGGAAGAAGAAGTGTCGGTCCCTTTTGATTTGGCTTTGACCTAGACTTGGGGGGGTCAGCCCGGTCTCCCTCGGAGAGATTGATGGCCGAGGGTGATTTCACCTTCTTGTCCCAGATGAGGTCATGGAGAGGGGTGCACTGGGAAGTTGTAGCCCCTTCCATTTTAGAGACTTGGGGAGGGGAAGGAGGTTTGTTGATAGAAGACCGGTCGCCAAGGAGGACTTCATCGTTAGACTCGTCAAGGTTGGCAATCCCAGTGAAGTTCATGTCTGCGAAACATAACAACAAGTAATTGGTTAGATATTTCACCTATATAAAAAAAATATAGAGAGAGACAAAGGTTTGAGAAAATTTGACCGACCTGGATGAAGAGAACTGGTCTCAGCATAACCATCCGGGGAGTTGTCCCGGTCATCTTCTGCGTCATGAGTCGCAGATACACCCCCATTCGGGTTCAGTAATCGGTACACCCAGCCTCCATAAACGTAAGGCTTCCCGGTCATAGGATCACCATTGAGAAGTTTCTCGCAGGCGTCCTCCAGCTCGAGCGTGGGCTCTGGGTGAACCCTTTCAGGTTTTATTATCCGATCAGTCCACTCAAGGTTAGAGAAAGGAAATTGGTCAGGGGGGAACTCAATGAAAACAAATCTTTGTTTCCATTTCTTGTGACTGGGGGAAGACCGGTCACAAAACTCCTCTTTTTGCGAGAATGAAAGTAAACAAAGCCCGAGCAATTACTAGTCTCGGGCAAGACTTCGAACATGTGAAAGAGGAGTTCGAGGGAAGGTTTGATTTTTAAGGAATCACAAATATTGACAAAATAATTTAAGAACCGGTGAGCGTTGGGAGTAAGTTGACCGGGCAACACGCGAAACTTGTTGCAGATTTCGATAAGGAGGGGGCGAAAAGGAAAGATAATGCCTCCCTCCAAAGAAGCAATGTGGAAACCCAACCAGGTGCCTTGATGGGGTTCAACAATGATGGGCCAAACGGTTTTAGAGGGGAGGATATAACCGGGTGGAAGGAATGAGCGGACATCGGCCAGGACCTTTTTTGTGACCTTGGAGGGGGTTTTGAAGACCGGCCTTACATCAATGGCTAGAAAGCCCATTGATCCCAATCGTTCTTCCCATTGGTCCTAACTGAGGACTTTGGGGTTGAACCAACCGGGCAATTGGTTTAAGGGAACAGGCTCCTGGGCAACTCTTTCCCGGGCCTGAGAGCTAGGCTTTTGGGAGGGACGGTGAATTAAAGGAGTGGGAGGGGGAGAAGATGAGTCAGATTGGGTGGAGGAAGAGGGCTGAGAGCCCGACCCATAAGATTGGCCGGACACGTTTTGATTATCGTTAGAGGATGACATGACTCTAGTCTACCAGTCAAAAATTGAAAGATGGAAAGAATGAAAGACTAGGAGGATTGGAGGACTTACTTGGCAGAAGGCTAGAGAGAGAAAGTTGACCGGTCGAAACTCAAGAAGCAGAGAAGAGAAGTGGGGAAATGGAGTGGGTTGAAGAAGTATTTATAAGAGAGGAGGAGGGCCGGAGTACGAGGAGGAAGGCTGAGGGACAGACACGTGTAAAGGGCAATGATAAGGGGGGAATATTTGAATTTTGAATCTGGAAGGTGAAAGGTTTTGGGGGGAAACTCCAAAGGTGAAAAGCCAGGCGCGACGCTTGGACTACCACGGATTCAAAAGGACAGGTCAAGGGAAAGGCTTGATGAATAAAAAAGGACAGGTCTGATAGGATGACTTGATGGTCCAAAAAAGGACAGGTCTGATAGGATGACTTGATGGTCCAAAAAAGGACAGGGCTGAAAGGGAAGGCTTGATGATTCTAAAAATACTTGGTCATGGGAATGACTTGGTGATTCAAAAAAGACAGGGCTGAAAGGGAAGGCTTGATGATCCTAAAAATGCCTGATCATGGAAAGACTTGATGATAACAAAAAGGACAGGTCAGAGAGGATGACTTGATGATTTCAAAAGTGACAGGTCTGAGAGGATGACTTGATGATTCAAAAAGGACATGTCTGAAAGGATGACTTGAGGATTTCAAACAGGACAGGTCCAGGTGGATGGCTTGGTGATTTTAAAAAAGTGACGAGCCAACATAAATATACTTCTCACCCTTGATGATTTCCTCACAAAGACGGTAAGTAGAGGACTTCTTGATGGGTATATCCTTATACCCGGCCCGAATAACCGAAAGGGACAGGTCAAAATATGACCGGTCACTTTCTTCAATCACCAAATGAGGACAACTCTTCGATTGAGATCGGTCCAAAGTTTACCGGTCACTTTCCTTAAAAAGTGACCGATCGCATTTTGGGCGATAGCCAAAATGTCACCTAATGTTATGGAGGATATTCCGGAAGACCAAAGAGACGGGTTGAACTCAAGAAATGACCGGGTAATCTTTGAGGAAAGGTGACCAGTCATGTCACTTTACTCGGCTAACATTGGTCCAGTCTCTTAGGCATGGTGAACCACGCCAAAGATCGGGGGACCACCCCGCCGCTCATCCATCACGAGGCACATAGTGAAAAGAATATTTGTCATCTTGCAGGATTGATTGGATTGAGAATATCCATCTTAAAGTTATTGATTCAACAGTGCTTCTTGGTTGTATTCATGACAAGTCTATGATTGAATAGTAATTCCATTATATACAGTGACCTTCCCACGAGCTTCCTATTTTGTCCATGAATGAAAAGGGGAAGGTCACAAATCCTTCTCTATAAATATATGATGATTGTGGATAGAGGAGGGGATCTAAGTTTTATCTCACTAAAAGTACAATCTTGAGACAGAGTAAGAAATATAATTCGGACTGAGGAGATTTACCCGGTCTAGGTCATACTTTGGGTTCTTGTTGTGTGTGTTTTATTACAGGTCGAGTGTGTCCAGATCAGACCCGGTCAACCCACCCAGCTATATTTACACCATCAAAAGCGTTAAGTTGATTATTCACATAGTTAAAAATTAAAATTCAACCCTTTTTTTATTTATTTGTTTGTTATCTATTCGATAAAATAATGTAGTCATATTATTTCTTGGTTTGTAAAACTTTTGGTGTAATTTTAAGATATACGGAGTATAATTTTGTGACAAAAGAAGTAAAATCGGGCAATTAAAATTTATTGGGACTCTAGAATGACACGAGAAGTAAGAAAAGTACAATTCTGATTTATATTGTTGTTAAAAAAGTAAAAACGAATATGAGCTATACAAATACGAACAAATAGAAGTATGTGACAAAAAACAAAGGGAAAAGCAGACGGATGGAAAAATATGATCAATACAAATGTTTTTAGAAAGAAAATGAAAGCATTGTCTTAGGAGAAAGGGCCATTTGGAAAGAAGTTTAGCGTTCAATTTTAGCGCTTTGAAAAGACTATTTCGTACAAAAATTAGTTGTGGCATTTTCAAATTTAATCTGCACTATTAAAAAATGATCTAAAACGCTAATTGTTCCCGGCCAAAAGCAGAAAGATAATCGGTCAAACATACATATAATCTGATCACCAAATACAGTCGTAAATATAAAAAACAAAACACAGTTTTGCCTCATTATTTCAGCTAAATGGAGAACATGACACCCCAAAGTATCACGTACCTGAATAGATACTACCAGTGCCAATACAACTCTTCCGGGGTCATCATGACATGTTATACATAGCTTTCAGTGGCCAAGTTTTTCTTCATTCTTACCCAGCAAAGTCCGGTCCGGTCTGGCCGCTCTTCAGTCTTGAATACTCCTCCGATTGGTAAAATAATAATAAAAAGGAAATTCTTGAACGAATTTCCTACATATGTGATGCTGCCCTCTTGTTTTTGGAAAATGGAATTTCCCGCGAAATAAGGTAGATTATGAATGCAACATATGCAGCTGTGAATGTGAATATGGCAGATGTGAAAGCCACTCCTCTAGCTTCTGATAAGAAGAAGTCTACCATAAGGTACCCATTGATTGCAATCAGGAAGGTAGCCACAAGCCATGATATCACCTATACACAAAAGATCAACCAAACCATTAACAGCCTGCCTAGTGGGGGCATATGGCTCGTGTTGAAAAATAATAATCTTTATCTCATAAATTTTTACTTGTACAACAACAATAACGACCCAGTAGAATCCGGCAAAAGTACGGTTCGGAGAGGGAGTGTTTAGGCAGACCTTACCCCTACTGAAAAGTAGAGAGACTGTTTCCAAGAGACCCCAGCTCGGTTACCTATACTTGTAGGCCTCCCTATTCTCAGTACTCCTTCCATCCCAGAAAGATTGTACGCTACATCGTTTTGGCTCACCCCACAAAGACAATCCAGTTTCTAACTTTCTATGTTAAACACCTTTAATGTGTTAGTTTTGGTTTTTTTTATTATCATAACACCCACGGAGTACTTAAAGTCTTTATGCTTGTTTTTTAGACGTAGTCAGATCAAATGTTCCGTTGGGCATATGTTGGTTTGTATTATAACATTCGACCAATGCAGATGTCTTAACAGTTGACATCATTTCGATACATACCCCTAATCAATGTATCTTGGTATTATCTACATTAATGTGATCTAAGAACATTTATGTAAATAGTGTGTATAAGTTAATCCGCATGCAAAAAGACTGGCATGTCTTTGTAGCACATATATATTATGCTTTAGTTATCATGTCAAAGTATATTCTAGCCCTTGTAACATAATATATGGATATGCCACTGAATTTACCATTAGTATTTTATTATTTCTACGAAATGGCCCTAGTTGCACATACAAAGGTAGTAATTCCGAGAAGAGCATTTTGAGTATTAGAGGTTAGAAAAAAAACTTACCTTGACAATAGGGCCAATAGTGAAAACACCCATGACCTGTTCCTTTGAGACTAGACAGAGAAGGGGAATGAGGGCAAAAGGGATTTGGATTGCCTGAAGAACATTGAGCCACTCATTTAGAACATCTAACAAGTCCTCAGAAGTGTCAAAAGCAAGTGCAACAATAAGAGTTGGGATAATAGCACAGCTTCGGGTTATCAATGCCCTTTGCCATTTCTTCAACTGCATATGAAGAAAGCCTCCCATTATAAACTGCCCGGCATATGTACCTGTGATAGTACTGCTCTGCCCTGCCGCCAATAACCCAATAGCCCAAATGAAAATAATGGGGAACAGCCCTCCACCATACTTGTCCTGAAGATACTGCCCGGCGTTCCCAAGACCAATGCTATTAGCCTGGTCAGTTCCAAAGAATGACTTGGCAAAGACAGCTGTGACAAATAGGTTGATGCAAAAGGAAATTGCAAGGGCAGCTGCCGACTCAATTGAGTAGTAATTTAGGGCTTCTTGGACTCTGCCCGGCTTCCGGGTGTCCACCTCTCTGGATTGCACTAAAGCAGAATGCAAAAACACATTGTGAGGCATGATGATGCACCCCACAACCCCTACTGCTTGCTTTATTGTTTTGGAGCCAAGTGTTGGGACCAAAATACCTATGATAAAAAATAATAACAGTTGGATTTTAGGATGGATTTGGTGGATCAACCAGTCCATTAATGAGAGAGATTGGTTTCAACAGGTAGGGGGGTGATCTCACCAAGAAGAAGCTCAACACCACTGGGCTTTGTTTCTCCAAACATCCATGCAAAGGAGAGCCCCATGACAGCAATAAGGGCAGCAAGAAGTGCTTCCAGCTTCCTCACACCATAGTTCTCAAGAAAGAGAAAAATGAAGCTGTAATGATATGAAACAGTAGCTTTTATTAGACCAGCTTCATCCCATAGGTGAATAGACCCTCAAATTGGTGTGGAAAACCCCACGCCATATTCGCCCTGCGAAAAACCCAAGGACCCGCCACCATTCGGGCCGCCTGCATATGCAAGCAAGCTTGCCACATTACCCCTAACGAGCTCCGGGGCTTCTGCCATAATTTTTTTGTTTAAATCCAATGGTTGTAATGTCATTAATGTGTTTGACATTGTTTTGACCCGAAAAAATGATTGTAATGTCATTAATGTGTTTGACATTGTAATGTCATAGAATCTGTATTTGGGTGTATTGGATTATTTAGATGTCAATATTTCGTGTTATGACTCGAAATGATTGGGCAATGCTAAGAGTAGACCAAAATGGGATATCCTATTTGTACACCACGCCTTCACACACACACAACTTCAAGTTTAATTCTTGCTGCAATTGTTAGGTAGGATCTCCCTATCCCTTCTTTGCAAATGCAGAAATAATTGCTGCCACCTGTTTTATTCTTAAAATTTACTCTGATTTTCCAAATTATTTCAAAAATTACCTTTTTCTTTTTTTTTTTTGCCAAAAAATGTTATCAAGAATTTTTGTTTAAACATTTAGCTTGAAGAGAGTTTTAAAGAGAGATATAAACCTGAATCTGAAAAAAAAATAAAAAATAAAAAATTCTGCAGAGGTAGAAGAAGAGAGAGAAAAATACAGTACCAATCAAAGGCAGTAATCAGAACACCAGCCCAGAGAGGCAGGAAGCCTTTACTAAGAATCTTGATAGCAATAGCGCTACCAATCACCTCCTGAATATCGGCCCCAATTAGGGCCAGCTCAGTCATGATCCACAACAGAACCCTGGCCCACCTGGGGTACTCGTCCCTGCACAGCTCCGCTAGGTGTTTGCCAGTGGCCACCCCTAATCGGGCCGAGAGAAGCTGGACCAGTAGGCCCATGACAGTGGCCCACAGGAGCAGCCACAGCAAGGAGTAGCCCGCAATTGCGCCGGCCTGGAGATCGCTCTCCAGGTTTCCCGGGTCCAGAAAGGCTATGCTCATCAGGAATCCGGGCCCGGTGAAGAGCCAGAGCTTTTTCCACGAGAACGGCGGCGTCCGGCTGTAGTCCTCCTCCTCCTCCGATTCCGGCTCGTCAACTCCGACTATGTGGACTTTCTCGGCGGATTCGTACGCGCTCTCCTCTTCTGCTCCATCGGAATCGAGTAATCGGGTCGCCAGTGACCGGTTTCCCGCCTGGTCTCCGTCTCCGGTGGGCATCCTTCCCTCTTCTGTTTGAATTTTCTCTCACTATATTTGTTACAGTGCAGTGAAGAACCGGATTCGAAGGTGGAGACGAATATATAGGGCGGGGCGAGGACGAAAATGAATGCTGCAACAATCAACCGGTTTTGTCGCACGAAAGTGATTTTTTTTTTTGGACGGTAAGAAGGACAGTGAATTGATTCGCATAAGAGTAGTCATATAAAAATGGATTTGAATTCATGAAATTTAGTTCTTCCACCAAAATTATGAGAGGTTTTATGGTAGACTTAAACTTCACACAAAATTTCTCATGCAATTTTATTGATTTATTACTTTTTTTTAAATTATTGTTCATTTTAATATTTGAAAAATATTTATCTAATAAAGATCTATCATAAACATTATTATGGCCCCGTTTGGCATCAGCATCAGAGATTAGCGTTAACGTTTTGAAAAAGCTATCCGACGGTAACTTTTAGCGTTAGCGTTTTCAGAATTAATCTGAACCGTTAAAATTTTATTCAAAACGCTAACGCTAATCGAAAACGCTGTTACCAAACAAAGCCTATATAAAGATCTAACTGATTTTATTGACTCATTGCCAACACATGCAAAAAAAAATACCTTCCATATTATATATCTGGACTTTGAATTCGTCTAAATCTTTGACTTCTCTAATTGGTTTGTTTTAAGATCAGATGGTGATGTTAGTTCAATTTGACTTGACATTTCATTTAAACTACTATGTAACATTTTAACTTATATCATGCACATAATGAAATGAAAGACTTTTCAATTATGTCAGCATTTTCCACTTAATATCAAAGGATTAAACAAATTATATTTCTAATACGATCTATAATAGTATAAACATTTGTATCAATAGTTGAATATATATTATGAATGTAGTATTTAACAATGAAAATTTATGTTGCACAAATTTGTAAAAGTGAACATGACACATTTTAATTAAAATCTATTTTTAAAAAACGATTTTGACATATCCAACATTTTCGGTAGAGCTGTTTAGGCTCTCAATAACATCTAAAATTAATACTTTTAATCATACGCGTAAGACTCAGGCGCTACCAGCATTTTTAAAACTAATTAGTGTTAGAAGTAGTGCATACTCTAGCCTTATACTGCATTTAGCGAATGCAAGCGCCCACGAGATTTGCACTCATGGCCAACAATCTCTCCCTCAGTAATTGCTCCCGCTGGGAATCGAACTCGTGATCTTGGCTCTGATAGGACTTGTAGGACCTCAGGTGCAGGCGACTCTTTTAAAACCAATTGGTGTTAGAAGTAACGCATACTCTAGCCTTATAGTGCATTCAACAAACACAAGCGTACCCGAAATTCGATTGTGACTTGACCTACATATCTTCTGTCACATGAAAATTGTTGCACACATGACCAACAATACCTTGCTCTCACTCATGAAACTAATCATTAAAAATGATTTTAAAAATAAAAATGTTTGACGTCTTAAGTACACTAAAAATGATTTTAAGTACACTAAAAATGATTAATTAAATAGATAAATCAATGAAAATAATTAAATAATTATAAGAAATTATTTGGGCATAATCTTTGACGTCTTAAGTACACTAAAAATGATTTTTTGGGTTGGAGAAAAATGTATACTGATTGAAATAGTGTTTATTAGGTTTTTTATTTCATTAAAACTAAATTATAAACAATTAAAGAGTAAATAAATAAAGATACGTTAATATTTCAAATAAATAAGAGATTATTTGTTGAGTTGGAATTTTTTTGCATAGTAGTATTCAAATAAAACTATTAATATTTTTATTTGTATTTATGTATTTACATATTTACTTATCTATTTATTTATCTATCTGTTTCTTTGTTGCATTCATAATTTATAATTATCTAATACTTTTATTTATTTATTAATCATTATCGTATTATAATTATTATTTTAGATTTATAATTCATTTTTTCTGTTTTTCTATTTCATATTTATTATTATTATTGATTTTATTTTTATATTTTTTATTTTATTGTAAATATATTTTTTATTGACAAGATGGAGAGAAAATTGACAGAAGAACAAGGGAAAGAGCGTAGGAATAAGAAACCCTTCAATTTAGAGGAAACTGAAGGATTTGAAGCTAAAATTCTAGATCATGCCTCCTTTACACTTGGTTCAAGGAATTTAGAAGAAAAAAAGAAAAGAAAACGATTTTCTCTCACCAAAATGGAAGAAATTTGGTTTTTCGTCCACTTAGTACATTTTGCCTTTTCATTTTCTTTTCCTCCCATTTTTCCTTTCTTTTCCTCTAGAACTAAACAAGAAAAAGTGATTTTCACTTCATTTTCTTTTCTTTTCCCTTTCAAATTCCTTAAACCAAACATAGTGTTAGTTTTTTTAAACAAAACAAGGAGAGGAACTTAGTTTTCAATTTTCATCTCCTACCCTCTTCCTTCTAATCAAACAGATCCTAAACAAAAGAAAATAGTGTAATTTTATTTATAAATTTCTTTTTGGGTTGTAGAAGTATATACTTCCTTGGTTTCACTATTTTTGTCATTTTTATAATTTTACATTCTTTGTCTTATTATTTTCGTTACATCCTTTTTACGTCCCAAAAACCTTTCTCTATTTTGATTTTTTTGTTAACTCTCTACACACTTTGGCCATTATTATAAATAAATGTTGAAATATTTATTATATCAAAACTATATTTTAAAATGAAGTCAATTATATTAAATTTACGTAATATGATTAATATCTCAACATACTATATTCATAATTTTTAGTCAAAGTGTGTAAAACATTGACTAAAAAGGTCAAAATGTAAACTAAAAGGGGATAAAAATAATACGGAGTATCATATATCATCATATTTGTGTGATTTGCATTTATTCTTACATTTTAGCATGAATATTAATCACACATATTTATTTTTAATTTTTTATCTTATTTTTCATATCATTTTTTACGTCTTTCGTTCGTAAAAGATTGTCACAATTTGACTTTTTTCTCAAACTGTGGCAGCTTTTGACCACAAATTGAATATAGTTTAAAGTCATTATATATTATAAAAATTTGATATTTCAAAATTATATTTTAAAGTAAACACAATTTTACTGAATTTATATTATGTACCTAAGTATACTTCTTCTATAATTCACGATCAAAGAATGCTACAATTTGTCAAAAAAAATTAAATTATCACAATACGGAGTATTTTAAAAAGGAGAGGAGCATATTCTAAAAATTATGGGGCTGACAAGTAAAATTATGGAGATGCACGAGGGGAAGTTAGTGTGCGTGTGGAAAGAGTGTGGCCAAAGGAAAGGAGCTCGTGGATGCCCTCGGCGGCCATAGGAAAGCTAGCGAAATGGCCGTGGATGTTTAATTGTTAGAGCACCGGCAATGGTAAGACAAAAAATGGAATGTCACACGTTGATGTGGAACATTTTAATCAATAGAAAACAGTCCAATCATTGTGTGGCAAGAACGTGGAGTGACATGCATTGCAATGACAAGTCATAATCTTTGTCACTTTTTTACATTTTTATGTATTTAATTATTAATATTTATTTTATTTAATATTTTTATAAAAATAATTTTACTTTTTTTATATTCTCTCCATTCCCAAAATTGTCGTAGAAACTATTTTAGATTTTCGATAACATTTTTTGTGCTTCCCTTTTTCATGGTATATTTAATAAAATAAATTATTCTTATTGTTGCTTATTTTGTAAAACTTTTGAAATGGTGAAAAGTTAAATTGAAAAAAATTATTATTGTTGTTGCATTGGCCGAATGGAGTATAAAATTACTCCATCATCCCCAAAAAATCCTCTTTCAAACAACTTGTAAAAGATCATTCTTTTAAATTGTTATTATTTGCAAATTGACAAGAAAATAAAGAGTATAAATTATATATTTTAACCAAAGATTTTTAAAACAATTGTTAAAAAATATTTTATTTTACCAATTGAACCATGAAAAAAAACATACGCAAACAAAAGTTATTTTAACGCCAAAATATACCAATTTTTAGGTATATTGCCTTCAAAAAAGTTTCTTTCTATTTGACAAAACAAATCAAGAAAAAGAAAAATAAAAAAAGAGAAAAAAGCAATAGTGTGTCTCGCATATGCCATGGAAAGCAAGTGACACGAGAAGGGTATGCCATGCTTAGCAAGGCAAAAATATGACGGGGCAGGGCATGGGGGGCAAATGCCTCGCGACTGCCACTGCTCTTAATGTGCCCGCCCGTTTAAGACAAAACCTCATCTTAAAACAACTCTTATTTTGACTTTGGGTCAAAATAAGAAGTTTATATTTATAGTTAAGTTTTCAATTTTGTCATTAATGTGATGTATAAAACTAAGATGTGATAGGTAAATTATTAGTGAAAAAATACAATGTAATAGGTAGGATAAGAAAAAGTAAGTATAAAAGTAATGTTATAATAGAAATTGGAAATGTTTTGGAGAAAGAGAAAAAATGACAGAAGTAGTTTAAGAAACAGAGGGAGTAAAGGGGAAAAAAATTGAAGTGTTCCCGGCTATTTTATGGTGAAGAGTCTCCAAGTATCTCTTTTTTCTCAAGTATTTGAACTTAAAATAGATGATTTAACATGATTTCATGTGCAATCCCTTTTTATGACTATTAGAACAAAAACAATAGTTTTATTCATGGAAAACATATTTTATGAGATGACTATTAAGTACTATTTGTGTGCAATAACGTTTAGAACATGAAGTAAAAGATAAGAACGAAACGTACTTATCAATAGGGCTGTTCACATTTAGGTCCGGACCAAAAAAACCGACCGAACCGGATTGTTAGGTCCAGACCGAACCCGGACCGAATGGATTTCCGGTCGGTCTTTGGTCCAGAAAATTTAGGCATTCGGGTCTCGGTCCAGTCCCGTCCAAACCCGAAATGATTTAGGTCCGGACCGATTGGACCGGTTGGACCAAATGACCCTACTGGACCTAAAAGACCTAAATACTAAAACTCTACTTTTTAAGTTCCGTATTACACTTTAATTCTCTATTTTAATAGATATTTTAATTTATTTAATTAAAAAGGTTTTTTATTAAGTAATTTTAAAAAAATGTAAAAAAAACGTTTCATATTTGTTTTTATGGTTCTACATTGAAGTAGTTCATATTGTGTATCCATTTTAAGGTTGCATATTTTTTTTATTCAT